TCAGCCACTGCCACCATCCCCCAGTGAAGACAAGCCTGCAGCCCAGCCTCTGCAGCCACTCACAATGGTGCACTCTGAGGGGACTCAGAACAAGAAAGGACAGGATAGCTAGATGCTTGTCAAAGGAATGAATTCAATGAGCCCAAAGGTTTGCTCCCTCCCACACATAGAAAAGCGCTAAATTCTTTAACTTGATCTGTCTGGTTTTCTGCAGTTAACAAGTTATATTTTAAGGTTCCAACTACCTGGTCTTTGTTGTACAACTCTATATATCCTAGCTCTTCCCCTACCTCTTCAGAGCAGTCCCTCAGAGCGCTCTAAGAGAGTGTCATCCCGGGCTCGAAGGGGTTTGAGTCCTCAGAAATGTCCACCAAATAAAACGTAACTCTCAACTTTAAGGCTGTGCATTTATTTCAGTTAACAACACCATACTGGAGTACAAATGTGGTCATTATTTTATTATTTTTTAAAGCAAGGCACTTTTGGGGAGGGAATAGCTCAAGTGGGAGAGGGCATGTGAGCTCAGCATGCATGAGATCCAGGGTTCAGTCCCCAGTACCTCCTCTAAAATAAATAGACCTAATTAGCCCCCTAAATAAATAAATAAATAAAGGCACTTTCATAAGAGCCAAAAGGTGAAAACCACCCCCAAATCCATCAATTGATAAATAGATAAACAATGAAATATTATTCAGCCTTATTAAGAAATGAAATTCTGACACATGCTACCATACGGATGAACCTTGAGAACATTATGCCAAGTGAAATAAGGCGGTCACAATGGATAAAAACTATGATTCCTTTCACACAAGGTACCTGGAGTGGTAGCTAGAGACAGAAAGTAGAATGGTGGTTGCCAGGGGCTGGTGGGGAGACAAAGTGGAGAGTTCATGTTTAATGGGTGCAGAGTTTTGCTTTTGCAAGATGAAAAGCACTGTGGATGGATGGTGGTGATGGTTACACAACAATGTAAATGTACTTAATGTCACTAAATTGTACACTTAAAAATGGTTAAGAAGGTAAATTTTATATTATGTGTATTTTACCACAGTTTAAAAATAAAGACTAAAGGCAGGACACTTACCTCTCCATCAGCTGCCAGAGCCATTGAATGATGAGAGCCACAAGCTACTTCAATCACTTGCTTGATCAAGAGGTTGGTGCAGACTTGGATGGGAGCAATGCCTTGGTTGGTCGTCCCATTCCCAAGCTGGCTATATCCATTGTGGCCCCAGGCATAAACAACTCCATCTATACAGGACGGCCACACACAAAGAATCAGCTCAAGGAAGAAACGGTAACCCCTGTACTTCCTTCTCCAGACGTTACACAACTCATTCTCCAACCTTC